GTTCTGGACCTTTTTGATATGTCCATGTACATACTGTACTATATATAAAGACTCCCATGATATGCCCTATGCGCAGAAATGAAGAAAAAGTAATTTCCACTTTACCCTTATACGGAGATATACTTATATACATTGTAAAAGAGAAATGAGAAGTGAAACACCGCCAATTTGATTTTAAATTGACCTCATCAGAAGGCGACGATAAAATTCGTAAGATGAAAGGAAGAGGTCAATAGATCGTATCACGCAAAGCAATGCAAACCACCCGTTGGCAGGTCGTATGATCTGGTAGAAAGGACCTGTAAGACCCGCCGGCGGGTCGTATGGCCTAGGAGGAGAGAGCCCTTACGACCCGCCGGCGGGTCGTATGGCAGCGAAAGTGTTAAGGAACTCTGTTGGTAATAAAAGGGAATTGCCATGATCAGTAGCTTTCGGCGGATTTAACCGGAATGCCAGCGCTGGAGCAAAGGGCAAAGATGAAGCTCTGAAAATCGTTCACTGAGACTCTCGAGCTCTTGCAGAAAATGTACCTACGTACAGCAGGTACTTGCTGCAGATATCTGTAGGTGACGGTCTGGAGTATCCGAGAACTAGTATTAAAATGTAAAAAATTAAAAACAGAAAATTGTTGCTTTCCTCATCACCGATAGAGTGGGATCATTCCTACCCGATTTCGTGATTCTTTCTGGTAGCAATCACCGTGGAACCGGTCAGAGCGATTAGTATCACGTTCTGTCGCGCAGTCGCCAGTGCGATCGACTCGCTAAGAAGCATATTCGACTTTGATGCAGCCTTCCTGGTCTGCGACGTCGTAATCCGGACGAAGTCGAAACGCGAGGACCTCATCCACGATTTTATTTCTCGAGCGAGTAGAGAATTGCAGGGCGTTCCGTCGACGACGATCGAGGGAGCGAAGACGTTCGCTCTTGCGGCGTGGAACCCCAACGAGAGAGAGAGAAAAAAGACTCGGAAGAGAAAAAAGGCGGAGAACGTCGGTGTCGGAAGAGAGGAAAGGATGAAAAAGTGAATAGAGAAGGGGGGCATGGAAGACGACGTGAAAAAAAGAGTGCTGGCCCCGGGGGGATCTCCTCCCCTCCGTCCTGGGAGGATCGCGAGGATCTCCTCCCCTCCGTCTCCAGGTGAGGCCGACGCTAGGACGCGTCCTCCAATCGGGTGAGAGAGGGACGGATCTCGTCCCGGCCGTCTCCTTCTCGAGCATCCCATATACCTCACGCCTTTTAGGCATCGTAGGCATCGTGTGCTCGTGTCTCCATGGCTTGCACGGCTGCCTTCAACATGGGATCCATATTCACCGGTTACCCCTTCCAAGGTCTGTCTCTCGTCTTCGTTCTACTCCGAGTGCGCGATCGTTTCCGAACGCACGGACGTCCACGAAAGTAACGCGATAGGGATTTCCAAAATCCGCTTAAAACGCCTTCGATTTTCCCACGATCGAACGTCGACTCCGCTCCGTCCACTTTTTTTCGTGGAGCCGATCGATTTCAGGGACGAAAAATAATTTAGTCCTCGCGAGAAAAAGACGCAACGTCCCTGTGACATGCTGGCAGCGTCTCGTCGGTAGTAATGAAGTGATCGAAACGATATCTCTGTTCCAACGAGGGAATGAAAAAATGTAATTATACCTCAAGTCCTATCGATGATCGGAACGGCAGCATTCTTCGAGGAATTCTAGGATTCCAAAGGTCTCGGTTTTTCGACACAGGCAACAACATCCCCATACTTTCGATTTTTGGGCGGAATGAAAATTCGTAAAGGTCAATTTGCGCACAGCCAGGCGGAAAATCAACGATCGACGGTTACGGGAGACGCCAGGGCGTGTCGAAACTTGGATATTTTGGCCAAAGGAAAAACGGCAGGGGGGGGGGGGGGGGGGAAGGGGCAAGTTGGGATCTGCAGATCGCCACGGCTACAAATTTTCCACTCCTCTGCAGTATTCATCAAACTACGATCTTTCTCGAGGAATAATTGAAATGGAATGGATTCGATGGTCTCGTGCATCTCGTCTCCCGTTCGTCACTCGGCGGTGTCACGGACTTTTCTTCGATTTTTCCATCCATGCGAGAACGTAACCGGACCTTTGCCTTCGCGCTCCCGGATCCAAAATTTTCATCGACGAACGATTCCAAAATTCCTCGTTTTTAACGGATGCAAGTCGGACTCGTGCACTCGCGAGGAACGGATGGAACCGTCGAAGAGAAAGGTGGATCGCCGGAACTCGTTCCGATGCGTTTCGCAGTCGAGTCTCCCACATTTTAAGTTTGGATTCGCATTCGGACCGAGAATCTCGGCGAAGTCGACACCGTTTCGGCTCGGAGCGGTCGAAATGCGAGAGCAGAGAGCCGCTCGAAACACGAACTCGCCCGATCTCCTTCTTGCACTCGAATTCGCCCATCGTTTTCTTTCGCATTCTTCGGGGAGATTCGGTTCCCGAGTTCGACAAATCCTCTTTTCCAAGCTATCGATATTTGACTCGAGCACGAAACGCCTCCTGTGTGAGACCATGTTCCATAGTTAATGAAAAAAAAAGAGTAGCTTAAAATAGTTAGTATCGGGAGCTGTTGGTGTCGCCCATCCTAGAGTTTAATCGAAAAGACATCAACTAATATGAACGGTGGAGAAGAAACGGAAGGTGCGGATGAGCCAGAACGAGATTAAACGAGTCACACGCACAAATGCATCGCAAATTCAGTTATCACCTGCAAGCTAAGTAAATAAGTATTCTGCTAGAAATCTAATATATACTTGCTGGCGTGCAGTGAAGTACGTGTTTCGTTCTTAGGTTGCTTATTTTTCGACAAAAAATATGCAGGACCTCGATGGAAGAGCTCGGGTCCATACAGGTTTCATTTTAGAGCGAAAGAGAATGTGAAAGAGCTGATATGAGAATACTCATAAATTTTCTGGAAGGCTTCAGAAACGTGAAGTGGTTTAGTTGACTTTTTTCGATCGGTTTTACCCGAAGGTGGGGGCGAATGGCAGCGAGATCCTTTCCGTCGACGATCGCGAAAACGCAAATACATCTTCGAGTGATGAAGCTTTCGTCCGCGATCGCGACGAGTGGACGAGATCGATCGTGCGTAAGCGGGAATCATGAATGCGATTTCGGAATCGTTTCACCGAGTCGCAAACGTAGGCCAAAGCCTACATTCGGGCCGTCGTTTTCTACGGAAGAAAGATGGCTTCGCGTTTGCGATGAAGAACGATAAATTAGAGAAACGACGGACATTGGAAGGTCGTTTACGACTGGACCGCGAAGACTCGTGTCGGTGGCGGCTCGAGCCGTATTCCGAAAAGAATGGAATCGACCGATCACGGAAATGGGACTCGTGAAGAAGGCTGAGTGAAAAATGCCTCGCTTCGCGACGACCATCGCTTCGATTAAATTTATCGATATGATAAAAACCATCCCACGCATCCTCTCCTGTATTCAAAATGAGAAATTATTTAGTGATTTTCTCAATTTTCTGTACTTTGATTGCATTCTGAACGCGTTCTAAAAGAAGAAAAACTGGACGTTTCGGCACGTGTAGAAAATATCCTTCAACCGATACGGAAGGAATATTTTACTTCGACCCAAAACGAAAACGGAAGATGAAGATGGATGCGAGAACGCTTCATCCACGCAAACGAAGACGATTCCCGTGTCGACTCTCTTCACGACTGGTTGAAATCGCGGAAAAGATGCGGCTCTTCGCGGATCGCCCGATCGCGGAAGTCCCAGCGCGATGAGAGTTTACACCGTAAAGATTTCGTAGGACTCAGGCGATCGGAAACGTGCCTGCCGTCGTATGCCGTTCGACGCTCTCGAGGGAAGCTCTCCTCTGCAAAAACTCTGCTTCTAACCTCATTTTGGTTACAGCTAAAAGCGTGGTCTGATGACCAGACGATCGATATTTGCAAGCAATCGGTCATCGAGCCATACGCACTCGACTATCAAGCGCGACGACTACGGTGCAGTGTAGTGTTGGTTTTCCGATTCGTGTTCGAAGAGGCTTAAATTCTCCCGTATGCCTCTAATTCCTCTCCAAAAGGAAAATTAGAGACTGCGTCTCGGACGCTTCCAGACGTGGTGGTGTCACATTTTTCCCAGAGGCTCGATCGCCCCGAGCGCCTGGCCGAGGCCTCGGAGACCTCCATCGTTTTTAACCGCCCGTTTTCGGTCGAGAACTCCGTGTCGTGTCGATGAACGAAACGAAATTTGCAGGTCAGGGGAGGGTGAACCAACTCGGAGGAGTTTTCATCAACGGGAGGCCGCTGCCGAATCACATCCGGTTGAAGATCGTGGAGATGGCGGCGGCGGGAGTGCGTCCGTGCGTGATATCCCGTCAACTGCGGGTGAGTCACGGATGCGTGAGCAAGATCCTGAACCGATATCAAGAGACGGGGAGCATCCGCCCCGGGGTGATCGGGGGTTCCAAACCCCGAGTTGCCACCCCGGAGGTGGAGAAACGCATCGAGGATTACAAGAAGGACAACCCCGGCATCTTCTCCTGGGAGATCCGCGACAAACTCATCAAGGTCTGTCCTCTCCAGTCTCCCATCGACGAGTCGCGACGAGAGGTGACGACGGTGCGTGCTCCGCAGGAGGGGATATGCGACGCGAACAGCGTGCCGAGCATCAGCTCCATCAGTCGACTGCTTCGGGGAGGAGCGACGAGGAAGGACCACAGCATCGATGGCATCCTCGGTGAGCGAAAGAAAAGATCTTTCTCCCCCCGGGGAGGGATGCACCCAAACCGCGTGGGAATCCATTTCGGGGGAAATGACATAGAATTTCCATGGGTTGGACTCGCGGAGGATGAAACGTCTCTGGAAGGGGAAATGATAGATCCCACCTACGCTTCCTCGGTGGCATCCTTCACTCGCGAGGGAAGACCACACGCAAAGGGTGAAAAAAAAAAGACAGGGTTCCGAACGCCTGCGTCAGACGAAGGGGGATGAGGAGGGACGAAGGGAGATGAAGGGGTTTCTTGGCCGGAGAGAAAAATGCCTGCGATGCCATTCCATCCTCGCAAGGTCGGATCTCTGTGTCGTGTCTCAATGCAAAGAGGTTCGAAGGCCCATTGTCCCGTGCCCGGGATCCCGGGGATAATTAATAGAGATTTCACGCCGCTTAACAGGTGGTCTCCTCACCTCCCCCCTTATCATTACGCGTGTGCAGATGATTGAAATCACACGCTACCCCTGCCCAGGGATTCCCCTTCCAGCCCTTTTGTTTTTTTTTTCTTACCCTCTTAATTTTACCGTCTACGAAACGCGAGCGGAAGGGGAGCAACGTCCTTTTTTCACGGCCGTGGGGATCGTCTGCCTTTTCCCGATCCCGAAGAAGCGCGGGAAAGACTTTTCGAGTTTCGTATCGTTATCGATCGGGGTGAGAGAAAACATCCAGTTGCAGGGATCCAGATTTTCTGACAGACGGACGGCATGCAGACGCGACGGGCGCGGAAACATGCATGGAAAATGCGACTTTGTCGTCGTCCGGGGAAGCGAAAAGAGATTTTGCACGCCCAATCGGCACACCCGCCACCCGCTCGGTCTTTTTTCCCTCGCATCTCCCCTCCGTCCCGGAGAAAAAATCCACCGAGAACGTAACGAAGACGATATGGCCGACGGCGAGGACACGGCTTCGCGAGTGAAAGGAAACACGAATGCGACCGGATTGAGAAATCCCTTTTTCCCCAGCGACGTATATGCATGGAGATACGGGAGCGAATAACGCGGCGGAATGGAAGCCGCCGAGTCATGATTCCTCGACGAGGTGGGCTAATGAGGCGATTGACGAAGGGAACCCCTGGATAATTAACCGTTAATTACCGATCCGGGATGACTCGGAGGTTTCTCACGCGGAACACCCGGGGTGCACGACATCGTGTGGGCCCATCGTGCATGCCCGTGAGGTCTATTTGCACGTCGGACTCTCGTTGCAGGTTGCAGCGATTCGGACACGGAATCCGAGCCGGGGATCCCTTTGAAGAGGAAGCAGAGGAGGAATCGGACCACCTTCACGGCCGAACAGCTGGAAGTCCTGGAAAAAGCCTTCCAAAAATCACAGTATCCTGATGTCTACACCAGAGAGGAACTCGCACAAAAGTTAGTCACCGCAACACTTAAATAGATAGACCGTAATGCCCCCCCCCCCTCGGTCGAGGGGATTTCTTTGCCCTCATCTCTGCGAGGAGAAAGGAAATTTCCACCTGCCCTGCTCAATGCGGAGGAAGGAAATATTTCAATTCGTTTCGTTCCACCTCATGCTCTACGAGTCTTTTCCTCTAAAAGCCATCCCAAAGATTAAGGCTCTATCGTCCCTCCTCGACGTACATCCCACCCCGACATGGTAACAAATACTTAGTTCGTGATTCGGATCGACGAGGTACCCTCTCATCGTGACGATTGCCACGAGTTCTCGGCACTCGACCCAGCAATGTATACATTTATTTAGTATTTATAATGTGCAACTCTCAAACGGCAGCGTAATATACAGGGTGGCCATAAAGTCTGGACTCATGACTTTATGGCCACCCTGTATTTTGTATCTGGTATCCATGTCAGCGAATTTTCTTCCAATCTAATGGTGGGCAATTGAACTTCGTGAAGTGCTTGGACATAGGTTGATGGATTTCATTCCTGCACAGTTTGTAGTATTGTATGGATTTGAATGATTGTTAAAAAATATACCTTCCAAAAAATTGGGTGTTCTTCCCAGAAAGCCTGCTGGTATAGAGAGATCTATTCCAAAATAACCCTTGCCGAAAGCTCTTTTCTCCCTTGTCTCATTAAACCTATATTATCCATTCTGGAGCATAAGATCGATTAAAAGTAACGTACGATATGATAGGATGATGGGAGCAAGGATGGGACTCTCTTTTGCAGTACGATGCCAGAGAGCCAAGGCGCTGCAAAAATTGGAAAATGAAATCATTTACCTTCTGAAGGATAATAGTTACTATAAAGTTAGCGTGAATCTATCTCTCAGAAAAATGCCAGTGAAAGACGCGTCACTTCTGAGCCGCTGTGAGCTAGGATCTCGATAGCAGTGACTGGAATCGAAGTGGCGAATCCCATGCTTTCACCCCATGTTTTTACGAGAATACGACTAACGCGGTCGAGTCGGTTCCCGTCCTGACGATCGGATCGGTTTAAGCTAAATCCATCTGCTGCATGCCACTCTAAAACGAGTCGTCCCTATGGAACAGATTACGATATGTGACATCGAACAGGAGCAGACTGACGGAGGCACGGGTCCAGGTGTGGTTCAGCAACCGAAGGGCTCGGTTACGGAAGCACTTGAACGGACTGAACGCCCTGACGGGGACGTCGCCTTCTGCCGATATGTACGTCTCTGCTGCTGCTGCCGCCGCCACCACATCGGGTAAGCTCTCGGGAAGAGAACGGCGACGAAAGACGGAGCGTCGAGGACTTCGATCCCTGACCTCGCGATCGCCGTGACCGTTCCAGGTAACGCGGGGATGATGTGCCAAGGCGGAGGAGGAACGGGGGGTGGAGGATACGGAGGGAACTGGGGCTGGTCTCAGCCGTCCGCGCCCTATCACTCCTTTCACCACTATCCGAGTCAGTATCACCATCCGCACGGAATGGAATCCATGACGAACTCGAAGATGACGGATCCGAACGCCTTTTGGACGAATTCGTCCTACAATCGAACTACCTCCAACTCCTCTTCGTCGCCCTCGTGAGTCGCTTTTCCTTCGTCCGTCGCGACTTCCGTCGTATTGCTCGCTGCGATGTCGTTATTTCCTCCGGAGTTTGCTCCAAATTCGTGATAAAAACGACCGTTTTCTCTCCCGTTCGAAAGGTGCTACGATTACAAGCCGGGAATGGGGGAGAGCTGCAGCGGGACCTTCGGCACGGACCCATCCAAAGTCCCGTCCACCTCCCCCTACGCCTCTCATTTCACCCCGATCGGAGTCACGAAAGACATCGTCGATCCTTCGCGTTTCTACTGATCCTTCGTTCGAGTCCTAGTTTCTTCAACGTCGTCACTAACAAGTAGGCCTAGGCCGTTCCGATGCCGAGTCTCGTTCGCCCCGACGCCATCGCACGACGGGAGGCAAAAACACGAAGAACGGGTGTCCTTCGCACCGCGTGCAAACGGAATTTTTGCACGGAGAGAGGGTCGTGTGTGTGTTCGTGCATGTATGCAGGTCTCTGGGTTAATAAAAACTCTTTTGTTTTCGAGTTTGCCATCATCGTCTCGAGGGCCGGTGGTGTTTGTCTTTCGTTGCACGTGGAGGAGAGAGACGGTCCGCTCGCACCTCCGCGCCTCAGACACACCGTATGAGAATCGATTGGGAGGCTGTCGGCGACAGAGCAAGGCCTCGCCACTCCTATCATATCCACAGCACCCATGATGCCAATACAGCCATGCATCATTGAACCTCAAAGTGGGTAATTCATTTCTAAAGGAAGTATACGAATCGGAGAAATCACCTGCTTCTTTGCTCGACCGGAAGGAATGTAAATATCTCGTTCGGGTGCACGAAGCCGTACGACTGCTATACGTGATGCCGCCGACACGACTCCACGCGAGACGATAGAGGATGGAAACACATCCACACGCATGCAAAGAACAGTTCCAGGATGGGTTCCGTGGAACTCGCGCTAAGTCTAAAAGTAGATACTTTGATGTCTTCCTCGTTGAAATTCCCTCTCGGTGCCTTTCTCGCGGTGAGAGAAATCCGCGCAGACGTGCGGATGATGGAAGACCGTTTCCAAGGTTTCGTATCGAGCACACGGGCTCTCGTCCGACATCCATCGCATGGGAGCCGATGCATCTGCATCGTGACGACATCATCCACATTTCAGCCTCGAACAAACATTCCATTTCGTAAATATTGACAAATTCTTGCAGCTTCCTATTCGTCGTTTGTGACGTGTGAATTTGCAAGGCCTCGGCTGCTCGCGAAGAGAGAACGCGATGCTTACAGGACTTGCAGGGGAAGGATATTTTTTAAGAGTAAACGTACGAGGATGCGATGGAACGTGCATGGTTTCTTGCGTGGATCGCTTCTACCATCGATAGAAATCCATTTCCTCGCGAGTCTCCACCCGAGTGGAACGAGCTGGGTTTAGTGCGCAGCGCCGACTTCATTCCACCTTTCGTCTGGTATATGTTATGTCTCTTTTCGACTTCCTTTAAATAAAATAATATCTAAAAAAAAAAATTAAAAGCACTGCAGGATGCAAAAATTTTCGGCCCGACTATAGACCGAGATAAATTGTTGGGATTTTAGGGACGGAATGAATCGGAAAGGCGGTATTCGGGGGACATCATGCTTAACCGGATCGAGTGTAAAAGCTAAGCAAGAGCTCAGATGGAGCTTTATTCCTTTTGGATCTGAGGGGGAGGGAGGGGAAGAGAGGCGCGGAAAGAAGGCATGAAGGGAAGTGCGGCGCGGAAGAGGGCAAGAAGGTAAAAATGGCTTAGAAAAGGGGGGGAAAGGGGGGGAAAGGGGGAAAAAGGGAAGAAAGCGAAGTGTAAGCGCAATCGCCCCTCCCCGAAAATTATCATACAGGGTGTGAGAACTGAGATGACGTCTGCGTCGTGTGCGTCATGGCTTGCCTAAACACCACCCATAATGGTTCATAAACAAACAATTTGATTTTTTATGAGAGAAGAGAGAAACCAGCGCAAGATAAAATGATGGCTCTGGCTTTAAGGCGAGTCCTTCCGGTTTTCATTTCACGCGAAAGATGACTTTCGGCACCTTCTGTCGAAAGTCTGATCGTGCCTACGGGCAGAACGGTTGAAAAGTTTGAGTCAAAATTCGGCAAAAAAAAGACGAAGGCGTCTGCCGCCTCATTACGTACGAATTCGTGCCATGTTTTCGTAAAATTTGAAGTAATGAATAGATCTCGATGAAATACTCACAAGATACGATTCCAGCACTTTAGTAATAAAGTCAGTATAATTCCGCGGCGAGAAATACGAAGTAAAAGCTTTTAGTTCCGGCACATGGACCGTATTAGGTATTCCTTCGTCCCATTTATACCTTGTTCATGCAACCTAAGTGACTGCGTCATCTTTGCTGTCACACCTTTTGTATAGGCCTATACAAAATGCAGGAGGGCCGAGTAGCGATATATTATCGTCCTGTTATGAAAGACCAGATGCAACCGACAGCGACCGGTTGAGAAACGCTGCGGGCTTTCGTGATGGAAACCGAAAGGGTGAAAGGGTTCCAGGACTGCGAGATCCGGTCGAAACGGGAGCCTCGCCGGCTCGCAGCCGGACGATGACGTCACGGTCGTCGTCGTCCAATCGCGAAGCTCGGCGGGAAGGTTTCGACTCGCTCTCGCGCGGCAGATGTGGAGGCTGTCGGAGAGAGAGACGACGGTAAACAGCGAGATGAGATCGACCGTCGTCCATCATTTGACGGGGGAAAAAGGCGAGATGGGCGTGGCGAATCCACTCGTTATACTGAGAAAAGGTGACGCGAGAAGTGAAGAGAAATTGGCAAAGGGTGCAGGCAGCTGTGCGGACGCGTAACGACCGTGAACGGGAGACCGTGCCAAATCGGGGCATGAAAAGGGCTTTCCCCGAGTGCAAAAACCGACCACCCGGCTCGCTTCTTCCTCCGTCTCTCTTCCCACCACTTATTAAAAGGCTTTATGTGCCAGACCCATCAACCCAAACAATGGCGAAGCCTCGCCGAAGTTAACCCGGAGTCCGTGCAATAAAAGCCAGAAGGCGGTAAAACAAAAAACCTTTTTTTTTTCCCCCCACGAGTTGCGCGTGTGGTTTATGAGACCGGTGCACAAAAAATCCAGACGTCGGGCGAAAAAAGACTTCGGACCGCAGAGGAAAGATTTGAGCATAAAGAGAGGATTTCCATCCATCAATGCAACACGGTGACGACAAAAAAAAAACACGGAGGGAAGAGAAGATTACGCGTGTTGGGATTAGGTACGAGGCTCCCCGCTTTCTTTGCCGCCCGTTTCCTGGCGGACGACAAAAACCTATCTTTTCCTTCTTCTTCTTTTATCTCTTTTCATGTTTCTTCCGCCCTTTTAAGGCGAAATCTCTGCCCTCGGGCCCGAGAGGATTCCCTTTCGACTCCAATTTTTCCGTCCCTCCGGAAGCGACGGAAACCCTTCACGGATCACGTACTAATTGATAAATAATTGTATAAAAAAGCTAGGCATCAGGAGGCAGAAAAGCGGGAAGTGGCCTTCTTTTGCATACGTCATTCAAGCTGTCATGAGCATGTGCGTCCGATGGCGTCATTAGATTGTCACGCTCGTCACGAAAAACGGGAAGCCAGACGCGCTCCGATACCTCGTGGCGAGGACGTGTCGCTGCGAGGACGTCGTTGCTGGGAGGACGTCGTCGCGCGCCCGCGACCCGGCCGGGAGCGATTCGATGACGGTCGCGGAATCTCGTGAAAAATCGAAGGACGAACCTTTCGCTTCGCGGATCGTCGCGAATCGGACGGGGACGGGAGGTACGCCGAATGGAGTCACGGCATCTCACGAGTGTGGAAACCGCATTAGGTACAGTTCATGGGGGGAAAGAGAAAGAAGAGCCGGATAAAAGGAGGATAATAAGGCGAGGAAAAGGAGTTTTTCCTCCCTCCTCATCCGTGTCTCCGATGCGGAACAATTGCGTTCGAGCCGCCTCCAGAGTACTTCGGGATCATAGAGCCATAGCAGCGGGGGGGGGGGGGGGGGGGGGGGGGAGAGGGGGGGGGAGGACATGGGGGGAGGGGGGGGGGGATGGGCTCGGATTCCCCGGTCGGAGTCCCAGAGACGGAGGGAAAGACTCTTTGAGTCCGATTACCACGGTTGCCACCCGGACCTTGATTCATGTAACCGGCCGCGAATCCAGCTGGCTTCTCTACGTAATCCCATTCATAGTCCCTTTTCTCTTTCTCTCCCTCATTGATCATGGGAGAAAGAGAGGGGAAGAGTCTCCCTCATTAGATGCATCCATTGTCGGTCGCGTACGACCGAAGCCCGACGGTCGCGAACGACCGAAGCCCGTAGGCCGCATCGTTTTCGTCCCGGGGCTACCGGGACGATGCGAGGGACGGATCGACGGAATCGCGATGGAAGCTCGAGCGCGTCTGGATCTTCGGCGAAGTCGATGGACTTCGAGTTCCAAAGACTTCTTTCCCGGAAATTCGGATCCACGGTCGAATCGCGATGGAACGGCCGAGACACGAGTCCGCGGATGGATGCGACGAGGATGCGGATGAAAAGCCCACGGCTCGAGCGCGCTCACGGCAGATCGATCCGACTCCGACGATTCCCAAATTTTTAAAAGGGTCGGTCGCCCGACCGGGGAGAGCAATCGGTACTCGCACGGTAGAACGACAGTCGGATCGAAGTGCGAACCGGCACCGAACTGTCGATTTCATATCGGTCTTAAGTCGGGTCATAGATTCTCGGCCCAAGTCACAAGTCGTATAGATTCTACCTCTGGAAAAGAAACGGACGTCAAGCTGCGACCAGATCTTATCACTTTCCTCACTCGTTGCTCCTCATATATGAGCCACGAACACGTGTAATCGTGTTTATCTGCTCGTAAGCCCCGATTAAACGAGTTCATAGCTCACACGAGAGCAATCTTGCGCGAAGAAAATGATGGCGTGCGATCGCGATGAAAGAACGACCTGGAACGATTCGCAGCGTGAAGAGCGAATTTCACAAAATTCTCGCATGCGTGATGCTATCAAGTATGAGATGAAGCAACTTGAATTTATTTTTATAGCCTTTAATTATTGCATCCTCCCGAGCGAAGAACGTAACCTACAAAAGGCTGCGTGCATTCGTGACGAGAATTGGACAGACGAAGAAAGAGGAAAAGAAGTGTTTTCCAACACGCTCTGGAAAGGAGTCTTTGAACGTCGCGACCCTGTCTCTTTCTCGAATTTACGAGACGATCCTCTTCCTTCCCGTGAAGTTTTCTCGTCCTCCTTTGCGACCGACGTCCGAATACGAAACGCGGGACGAAACACGAAATCCTCGTAAACCCTCCGTACGAACGGAAGCGATATCTCCCAGCTGGTTCCGGCGGTGCCGGGACGTCCCTTCCCGAAGAGCTCCCAGGCGGGGTCGTCGGGAACCGAGTCTGGAGATTCCAGGCCCGTCGAGAGGCTGAAGCCCGTCGTCACCGTGCGGCATGCGAGCGGGAGCGGAAGCGAAGACGGGGACGCAGCGGTGGCATTCCTTTTCCGGACTCCCGCGTCCGCGAGGGACCGCATCCTGCGTCCCGGGGACGAGAACGAGACTTTACAATTACTAACTCATGATTCATGGGGAGCCGACAACGTACGAGCGTGATGTTTCGCACGTGAAATAAATTCAGGAGAGCGTTGAAGGATGGCAAACATCCGGTGTTAGAACCTCTCCGTCGACAAAGGAAGTTCTCGGTCGAGCCGCACCCCGAGTGTGCATTCAGTCATCTATCAAGTGACCGGATGAAAGGCGTGCAAATGAATTCCATCTCTTTAGTTCCGGGAGATCCCACGGCCGGGACTTCATAGATTTCGTTAAAAAATCATTTGACGGGTGTTTAACTGGTGGGCGAATCGAATCCTTGACGCATGGCCGTTTCTTTTCTTTTTTATTCTCTCTCTCTCTCTCGAGGCATGAGACTTTTTCACGCCTCGAGGAGGCACGCATTCCTCCATGCAAACGCGAAAGAAACGCACGCAGCTCCCACAGGACTCCCTCTGCGCTTTTCCCCCTTCGGGCGAAAAGTAAATTCACTCTCGATCGGAGGAGCAGTTCATACGGGGAGTGGATTTAGGATGTGCGGAGTGGATTTAGGACGCATGGAGTGGATTTAGGACGCATGGAGTGGATTTAGGACGCGCGGGTATTCGGGAATTGATGGATGGATTCAGGAACGATCCCCCGATCTCGGTCGGGTCATGACGAGCAAACATGACGAGCATGAATCGGAAAAGAGGAGTCACAGCCCGTTAATCAATCATATCCGGAGATACCCGGAGGTTGGAGAAAGAGAGAAAATGATGGGATGGGAGGGAGGCACTCCACACGGAAGGGAGGGAGACCCTCCACGCGGACGAGAGGGAGGCCACTCCACATCAAAGAAAAACCGGATGAAAACTCGTCGGAAGCTCCCTGTTTATCGACGGAAGATCGAAGGAAAAAAAAGGGAACATGAAGTGTGTTGTCCCTTGGCGGCGTTTCCAGCCGACTTCCCTTCAAAAGTCCGCGCCTTTTCACGAGTCATTGGTCGGCACACGGGTGGTCCAAAGAGGTGTGATCATCATTTATGTCTGGACTGACACGATGCTATGCGGGGGAAAAGGCATTCCTCGCGGAACACAAGGACGCATGCATCCCATGCGGGAGGAAAAGGCTTTCCCGCTCGGAGCCCCATTCGTGCTTGCGATCTCGGCGTTCGAGTCTCCCCGGAAGGGTTCCGTCTTCCCCCTCGATTCCATCTCGAGACAGAACCTCGGGTCTAAACGAGACCTACTTCGCTTTTCCACTCCATTCACGACCCCATAACGATTGCGTTTATGGTATTTGCTTCTGACGAGTTCTCCCCCCCTTCTCCTCTAAAGCTTCTTTTTTTTCTTGTAGCATCAGGTGGATCCGGTGCTTTGTCTCGAGGGAAGGTGTTCGTACGTTTGCCGTTCCCGCCCCCTAAAAACCAGGTAGGTCCGAAAGAAAAAGAAAAGAACTCGGAGAAACTCCGGGAGAGAATCTCATCGGGTGGGGGTGGGGAACGGGATCCCGATTTCATGCTCGAGGAACAATGGAATTTCTCTCTCAACACCTGGGCCGTCTCCAGTGTATACAAGGCGATGATGACCCCGGGTGGCGAAGCCCTCGTCCCGGTGGTCTTTTTCCTTTTTTCTTTCCCCTTGTCATTAGGGAGGGGATGCCGCAGATTTCACTTTCCCTCTACGGGTGACAAATGCGGATGCGAATCTCGAGGAACACCTTCCACAGCCTCCGCCCCGACATGGGTGGCATCACCGTCGCATCGCAGTCGCATCGTCGCGGCATCGCAGCCGCGCTTCCTTCCCTCCGACGTCGGGAAAACGATCTCGAACCGATCCATAGTTTTTCCGTTCTTTTCGCGCGGACGAGGACCCGCGAACGGCGGAAGCGAACGCGACGGACGGGGAAGAACGGCTTCGGGAAAGGGACAGAAGAGAATCGTTAACGGAGGGGCGTGGAAGGCGGCATTCCGGGGTCTTTTAAAACCCACCAAAGGGGGTGCGAATAACAAATTAGGCACGGGAAGAGGAGACAGGGCGGCGGGAGAGAAAAGAGCGACCCCGAGCCTCTTCCAGCCCATCGATTTCGATGCAAGACCATTCACTTTCCGCAAAACATCCGCTAACACTCCCCTCTCGCAGTCACAGAAAAGAGCATAAAGAACGAAAGAGAGAATGAAATGGATGGGGTATATCGATGAGACCCGAGACCCCACGCGCGATTGCGGAAGTCCGTTCCGCGCCGATCCTCGCGGACCGACCCTCGCAAACCGTGTCGAATCGTCCGAGAAGGTCCGTATTAGCAACGAGGAAAATTGCAGAGCGGCACCCATGCACGACGATGGATTTGAAAACTCGCATCGCAAGATGTCTGCGATTCCACGAAAACGAGTCGTTCCGTCGTTTCGTCGATCACCCCGTCGGACGAGTCGAGATGGGAAAAATCCCGAGATGTGGGCGACCTGCACTTTCCATCACGGCTCCGCATTCTGCAATTTTCTTTCCGACGGAACTTCTTCGCTCCTTGCGAATCCAAACGCAGTTGCCACGAATGAAGTCAGAGGTGAAGATCGGGAAACCTCGAGGTCGAAACCGAGGAACGTTAAACCCGCCGATAGAAAGGGACCAGAGCGAATGACGAAGACCTCGTCCGCATCATTAAGTTTTATATCCGTTTTCTTTGCGAGTCGACCTGCACAAGAAACTTTCGCGGTGGGGATGTCCTCACAATTTTGACGTGCAAGATGTTCCATGCTCTTTTTTATGCTCTCCTTTCGAATAAAACTTTCCTGGAAGGTTTTCTTTCAAATATACGAGGGGGAGTCAATAAATAAAGTGAATTTCAGTATAGCTTGAAAACAGTTTATTCCAGAAACATGTACACACACTATTTTTATATGTAATTACTCCCTACCTCGACACATTTATTCCAGCGACTGACAAGCTTTCTGATTCCATCAGAGAAAAAAGATTTTGGTGAAGAGCGTAGCCAATTATGCACCGCATTTTGAACGTCTGTATCATCCCTGAAATAGCGCCCCCGAAGTGCATCTTTAATTGGCGACAGTTTCTGAATAGCTCACACCACTTCTACACATTTTTGCAATTATAAACACCTGTCCCCATATTGTGCACGCATTCTACGATAAATTTTACTCGGTTTGACTCTTTCTGACTCCGAACATCGAATAACACTTCGCTGTTCGACAGCGGTGGAATCTGAATTCGGAGCCGCCATTTTAAAAACTGTCAGCGACAATGTTGCCAACTTTATATTGCTGAAACTTTGAGTACTACATGTTCAGACATGCAGTAATGAGGGTATGCGGTAACGAGTACATAAATTGTAAAATGCGGTAACGAGTACACCATCCCTCCGTCGCGAAACCGCCACCCTCCGTCGCGACGAAGGAGCCGGAGCCGGCCCTGATTTTTCCGACCGAAGAGGAGTTTTACGGTTTCCACCCTCGCATCGATTACGAATGAACCGAAAAGGGGAAGAGTTAATTCCTCGGGGTGTCTTCATCCATCCCCGACCCTTCCACCCTTCCACCCGTCCGTTCGCCCGAGAAACAATAGGGTAAAAGAAAAGGAGGGGAGAGATATAAAGGCGACAGGTGAGACGGTCGCGTGGAAGGCATCCGATGAAGTCGTAAACAGAACGATCCCGGAGCGATTAGAAGGAACCCCTGCCGCGTGCACTCGATATACTCGAGCCCCTCGTTTCCCTCTCTCTAAATACTCTTCACGGTTACTGCAGCGTGACCATCGATCTCGGCGAGCGGTTGCGAATCGTCGCCGACCGGCCGGGGGTGAATAAACGGATCGGATCACCGTGAAGTTAGCCCTCGGACTGGAAAATCCCGACTCGGCCTTCGTCGTCGCGAGCGATGGAAAGAGAGGGAAAAAAAGGACACCATTTTGATCGGGAACACAAAGAGCTTGCATAAGCGATGCGAGAGCGAACAATGGAGGCGGGGCACGAGACGGATGCCCCGCCCTCCTCGGCGCGGGACGGACCAATCGCGAGAGGGCGCGGCACGACAGCGGCCGGCAAATCACGGGCCGTGAGTGTCATATTTGCTTTTCCATCATCTACTTTAGCACGGTGACTGAAGTGTTCCGATTTCTCGCCTTTCGACGTGCACGAAGGAAAGCGAGTGCGGTATGGCGGGAATGACTGTGTCGAGTGCACTCAACATCAGACCCATCTTCGCCGGTTACCCTTTCCAAGGTGACGATCCATGCCTCTCGCTCGTATCCCTTTCTCTTCGACCCGATGGATTTCTGATATTCCTCGAGGCAGAAGACCGTGCGAAAATCGGCAAGTTATACGGCTCGCGAGACTTTGCATACATCTTTCGACGTTGGCGACTTGCGCACGCGAGATTCGGATCTAACGCATTCATCACCCCATTCGTCGTGGAAAGAAAACTCGTTACGCGGTCGCAATGGGATCATGACGCACGATGAGGACGTAGAACGTGACCTACTCGATGACACACCCGAGCGGAGTTCTTCCGCCTCGATCGAATGTAGGATGAACCAGACGATCGACGTGACCTTAGGGCAAAAGTTATTGGAAAATTGCCTCCGCTCGAGAACCGTAGCGTGGGGTGAGATCACTCCACAACCTTGATGTATATTTTCTGGATCGATATTAACTTTTTTATTTAATTATTTCCTCATCACTGTTATCTCTATCTGTTCAAAAGATGGACGACATTAAAAAGTTTCGTGGAAAATGTGTAAAATTTATAATAAAAAAAGAGTGGTTCCCCGGAAAAGTAGTCGTGTAGGGGGAGATGAATCCATTTTAAAAAATTGCCTGTTTCATTAGAAACAAGAGGTTAGGAACTTTTACGCTATTACTTATTTGAGGTTAATTGAAAACATCAACATTTGACATACCGGTATATATTTAATGATCTTTATTACTATACATTTTTGAATCCATGCATTTTCTGTTTAAGGATACAAGACATACATCTCACCCTGTCAGCAAAGTTTTAGATCATACAGGAATATGCGGGGAAAATTTTCGTAAGAAATAAAGCATTGTTGGCCATCTACTGACAAGAC